AGACTTTGAGTTTAAATAACTGGCATGCATAGATTTTTATTTTATTGGAGGGGGAGCAGAACAGTACTGATGCCTTTGATCCAGGGCACAGTAAATAGTTTCATGACTGGATGGCTGAGTGCTTGCATTCCAACAATTCTACTTACTGAAGTCATTTGGACTGAAAAACACTGAGCAATATCGACAAAAAAGCAAGGATTGTGTGTCTATTCCATCACCCGCTTTTGTGTTTTATAGCTAAGATCACAAGGCTTTTTAATTCCAGTAGATGATGAGGCTGGGCTCTAGCCAACCCTGAATTTTCTACACATTCTGCAAGTGCTTGTTCATATCTGCTGCATTCCTGCTGTTAAGTGTGTTAGTATTTTCCATGCTTATTGCAACATGCTTCTCAGTGAAACAAATGAGTACTTTAAAATGTTGTTATGCTGAATAAGAGGATACATAGAAATATGAAGATCATTTCAATCCCAGGGGAACATGTCAATGCCTAGTATATATTTATTGTAAATTCTGAAAGAAAGTGTGTTGAGCCACTGCAATATAATGGTTAAGAGTGTTGGGTAGGGGAGAATCTAACCAGCTGCTAGATCTCTTCAGATGTTAAGGTATGGGGGGGAAGTAGTGGTGATGAGTATGCCAGCTCTGTCTGCTCCATCGGGGCAAAACTAGGCTTTATTTCACCTGAGTCAAAGCCTTCTGTAGAGCCTCACTACCTATTTTGGAATGGATTATGTAAGGTTCTAAAATGTTCAGGCAACATCCACTTGTATACAAGCGACCCCACTTCAGATTGTTGCCTTGTGACAGAAAACAGCAGAAGTTGTGATGGTTGGTGTGGGGCTGGAATGCTCATCCCTACTTCCCCCCATGAGTTGAATGCCTGACCAGGACTTTTATCTTCCAAGCTAATCTACTTCAGACCCTCCAAGTGTCCCTATTTTCTAGGGGCAGTCCCTGATTTAGAGAAGCCGTCCCAGTTTCTAATTTGATCCTGGAATGTCCCGCTTTCCTTGGGACGTCCCTATTTTCATTGGGGAAATGTTGGAGGGTATGGAGTTATCCGACCTTTGAGCTGTCTGAAGGCAGCCTTGTATAAGGAAGTTTTTTAATGTTTAATTATGTTCTAATATATGTCAGAAGCCGCCCTGAGTGGAATGGGGCGTCCCTATTTTCATCAGAGAAATGTTGATGGGTATGCTACTTCAGAAGGCTGTTGTATACTGTTATAAATACAAAGCAGGCTTATTAGATTGGATGAGAGGTGTCTAACTATGATGGTTGTGTGTGCTACTTTACAGTTTTCTGTTTTAAGGCTGTCTTGGCTAAGTCCAAAATCCATTGAGAAGGCCTGTGACTAGACAGACTCCTAGCGAGCAATCAAATTATTATCGGGATTATTTTATAAGTGATTTCTCTCCATACATGTTAATAAGCATTCTATATGGAAAATTTCAAGTACAGTGGTACCTCAGGTTAAGTACTTAATTCATTCCGGAGGTCTGTTCTTAACCTGAAACTGTTCTTAACCTGAAGCACCACTTTAGCTAATGGGGCCTCCTGTTGCCGCTGCGCCGCCGGAGCACAATTTCTGTTCTCATCCTGAAGCAAAGTTCTTAACCTGAAGCACTATTTCTGGGTTAGCTGAATCTGTAACCTGAAGCGTATGTAACCTGAAGTGTATCTAACCCGAGGTACCACTGTACTATTATGCAGACCTAAGTTTCATTGTTTCACAGCACTGAACATAATACATTTTCTGTTTCACATCATATAGTGCAAGCGCTACATTTATAAAATTTAGTGGTGTCGTGTCTCCTTTTCTGAAGTTCAGCAGTAGTTTGAAGCAGCCCAGTAAAATATATGGACTATTGAGCCTTATTCCAAGCTCTGTTTTTGTGCCAAATTTCCAATTAGTGAATGCCATTTTATTAACTAGACCCCATTAAGCTCCATTCTTTAGTATAATGAAAGCCATTTCTGTTCTCCTTAATTTAATACACAATTCAGAGGGTTATAGAACTAGACAGGAACAAATGTTAATGGAGGGAATAAGTATGATTTTAGATTCGTGGAAGCCCTTTGCAACTCATTTTTGTCTCGTTTCTTGTGTAGGAATTGACTGGGTACCTGGATCCAAAAAGCAGGGCTAAAATCACTCTCCAGCAGGAGAGCCCCCAGTAGCAGAGTTTAAACTCGTAAAAGTCAGGCAGCATATATGTTGTTAGACACTTTTATGCCATTAATCTGCATACAATGCCCCCTTCTTTTCTACCCCTCTTGAAATGAGCAGACCATATATTGTTAAGTACGTTTAAAATGTGTTACTTACAGATTCAAAGGTCAATTCATGCATTTATCCAAGCAGCAGCAAGGAGAACACAGGCAGAATGAATACTCTTTGGTAGAAAATACAGAAAGATAGCTCCAAACACATGCTCTAAGCTTGGAGCTTGCTTAGACACGTCCTCCCTGGTAGGTGACATGGCATGGAAAGAGTGAGAACAGGAAGAGAAGACTTCACTTCCTCTCTCATTGGAGAAGGAGAGGCATGACCTGGCTGAGTCTAGGGATCCAGCTCTATTGTCTTAACTCCCTCATGCACAGTTATGTTTGACTGCAATTTCTCACAGTTTATCTCTGGGCAGTAGTGATATTTGGGGTCTATAGGCAGTGGAAGAGCAAGTGGATGCAGTGAGGTCCACTCAGGGCCCCTTGCCCAAGGGCCCCCCAAAAGCTGGAATCGGCAATGGTGGCTTCCTTAATCCTATGGTTTTAGCAGCTATGGGAGAACAGAGGAGGTACCATATTTTTCGCCCCATAGGGCGCACCGGCCTATGAGCAGTCACTTCGGGTAGCTTCCGGATAAGAGGCAGCGCAAGCCGGGGGAGGGCTCCACCGGCTTGCGCAGAGCTACCCGAAGCCCCGGTGCGACTGCTCAGCGCGCCAGGGCTTCGGGATAAGAGGCAGTGCTGCGCAAGCCGATGAACCCCTCCCCCGGCTTGCGCAATGCTGCCTCTTATCCCGAAGCCCCGGCGCGATGAGCAGTCACTTCGGGTAGCTTCGGCTGCTCAGCGCGCCGGGGCTTCGGGATAAGAGGCAGTGCTGCGCAAGCCGGGGGAGCCCTCCCGCGACTTGCACAGAGCTACTCGAAGCCCTGGCGCGACTGCTCAGTGCACCGGGGCTTCGGGGTGCAGGCAGCGTTGCGCAAGGGTGGGAGCCCGGGAGGAACTCCCGCGGGTTCCCACGGCTTGCGGATAGCTTCCTGAAGCCTGGAGAGCGAGAGGAATCGGTGCACACCGACCCCTCTCGCTCTCCAGGCTTCAGCGAAAGCCTGCATTCGCCCCATAGGACGCACACACATTTCCCCTTCATTTTTGGAGGGGGAAAAGTGCGTCCTATAGGGCGAAAAATACAGTAGTTCATAAGGAAAGGCTGCCTCCCTGGACCACTTATCTTGCAGCTGGAAACCTACTGAGCCAGCAACAGAGTATAAAGCCACAAGTCCACTTCTTAGTGGGGAAATTTTTTGACAATTACGTAAACAGGGTCCTTCTCTGCTTAACGCATCTTTCTGTAAAGCAAGGTAGTATCTTTGTAGATGATTAATCTAAAATAATGTTTCCTTTTATAACCCCCACCCCACCCCCCACAATCCTCTTGAGGAAGCAAGGGCTCTGTGTTCTTTCGCAGTAAATCATAAATGATGCTTCTGGGACACGTGCATTTGGTTATACTGATTACCCATCTGTTGAGAGTGCAATATATTTATTCTTCATTATATATTTAGGGTGAGGATACTTTTTGTATCAGTGACTATCTATTTGCTTCTCCTGCGATTTCAGCAGCTTCATAAGAATGCTAAACTACTTCTATTGGGCATGTGGAGTTTGATAGGTAATTCCAAGTTTACGTTTCCCACTTGAATACCAACCTGCAAAATTAGAGTTTGCCTCTCAGGGTTACAAAAACGGATACTTTATATCCCTTACAGTGGATAAGTGAAACTAGGGTTTATTGTCTTACTGAACCTTGCAACAACTCTACTGCTTTCCAAATCTGCAGGTGTGAGAGGGGGAGGGGGAGGCAAGAAAGAGGGAAAAGAATGAATACATGCAGGTGATGCTAATGAAGGAAAATGTAGCATTCCATAGGAAATTATTTGTGATAGAATTACAGGTAAACCCCCCCCATACACTTCCATGTGATTGACTCATGGGAAAGAAGAAGAAAATTTGATTCAAACCTGGAAATAATGTGAGAGAGCTGGAGAGTCGTCATGGCTCGTGAGGAGACTTTCCCCGAGCCTGACATCACTGAGGGCAGAGGAAGCCCCAAAGAGATCAGAGGCCCAGTGGGGCTTTGTTTAGGCTGCCCAGCCTCCCTGCCTAACAGCTGGTGTTCAGGGTAGTGCAGCAGCCACTGCTGCTTTCCTGCGTGTCCTCCAACCTTCGACTGGCCCCAGAGTTCCAGTTCGAGTTGTGGATATTTTTGGAAACCGTAGTTTTGTTCTGGATTGGAGAGAGAGCAGCAGGGAGGGCGTTTAAAGGGTTCTCCCCCTGGGAAAGTGTGGGGGGGGGAAGGATGCCTGTACATCTTTCCACCCAGTCACCTCACATATTATGTGAAACATCCACATAAATCCTGTGACAGCTTTCATTCCATTTTAATTCAGAATTAGGAAGCCTGTAGCCTTCCAAATGTTGCTGGATCCCAAATCTAGCAATCCCTGATAATTTTCAATGCTGGCTGGGGTGGATAGGAGCTGTAGCCCAACAATATATGGATCATCACAGGTTCCCTACCCCTCTAATTCATACAAGCAACCTTTCCAAAACCAAGCTGTCGTTCAAATGCTATTTATTCCACCGTCCAAATTTAGTAATATAGGACACAGTCTTGCACTGAGTCAGACCATCCTTCCACCCAGCTCAATATTGTCTACACTGACTGGGAGCATCTCTCCAGCGTTTCAGGCAAGTGACGCTCTCAACTGTACCTGGAGTTGCTGGAGATTGAACCTGGGACCTGCTCACAAGGCAGATGCTCCACCCCTGAGCTACAGTTCTTCCCTTAAATTTTGAACGCGCAAGTACTTTTATCTGTGACGAAATGGCATTTTGGAGCATTTAAAAGTCAAATATTGACCAGGAAGTACGGTGAAGTGTTAGCTAGGTGTACCTTTCAGGAAACAAGTTTGAAACCCTTGGCTTACAAGGTATGCCCTCTACAAACAGAAGTGCTCTTGCTCAGGATTCCAGCCAGCCAGCCGTGCCTTCTCCAGGATAATATCGGCTGTTAGGGATCAGTTCAGGCCAACACACACACACACACACAAACAAAGAAACACCAGCTTGTAGTTCTTGGAGAGCACTCTGAGAACACTCAGTCCTAATTGAGGAACTTTGGTGGAATTATTTCTACTTTTTTCTTTTAATTCAATGGGAAGTGCACCAAGTATGGAGAAGGCACCACGTTATTTTTCAGTAGCCTGGCCTCAGTTTCCAAACAGTCTCTCAATCACCCAAGTTCACTAGCAGCATCTGAGATCCCTTACAGAAGCTCTACCTTCTGCTTGGGTGGCTGCCACTGCAGCTTTTGCCTTACATGGAATTGCAAAGGTTTAGTCGCTTGCCAGAAAGAGGCTGCTGATGTTTCCCACCAGGTCGCAGGATGAGAAATTACAGATGCTGTAATCAGAAGCTGAAAAATTCAGGGAAGGAATGGGTAGCATTTACAGCCCTTATGTATCATTCATTACAGCCCTTATGAAACATTCTTTCCCAACCAGCTGCAGTGTTCAACAGAACCACACGTACCAGCAGCCATGTATTGCTCAAGTGCATGCCAATAAACATGAGTGCAGTGGCAGGTGGATGTATTTGGAAGGGAAAATAGGTGGGAAGGATTAAGCACCCTTCCTGACTGCCAATTGTCATCTGCAATACTCCCCATCAGATTAGCATGGTAGGAAAAACATGGGGTTAGGGGACTCAGATTTGCTTTATAACACGGGTGTCAAACACAAGGCCCGTGGGCCGAATCCGGCCCGCCAGACCTCGTCATGTGGCCCGTGTAGCCGCCAGCCCGGCCCCCCCGCTTCCTCCTGCGAGGCGGCGCGCTGTGGGCGGGGATGGCGGGCTGGAAGGCGGGCGGTGGAGAAAGCGAAGGCGCTCCCTTCCCGTGCCGTTACTCGGCCAGCCTGAGAGAAAATTTCTGAGGCGGCGGCGGCCTTCGTCCAGGGTCGGGGGGCCATGGCGGGACTTTGCCCTCCCAGCGGCCTGGAGCATCTGGAGCTGGGACGGCTGCGGCGGCGGAGTCGTCGTTTCTTCTCCTTCTCCTTCTCCTCCTCCTTCGTCTTGCTCGCCGTCACCGCTGCTCTCGTCTTGCTCGAAGCAGGCCTGGAGCCGGGACAACCCGGGCTTCGAGCCCGAGGAGGAGGCGGGCGAAGTGGCCAGGGCGGCTGGCGGGAGCGCAGCGGCGGGGCCCGTGCTGCAGATGGGCGTGGTGGAGTGGGGCCGAGGAGGGGCACCTTCGCCCTCGGAGCCCGACACCCAGGAGGGCCCGCCGAGAGCGGGAGGCAGCGGAGGCACAGTCAGCGTGGCAAAAAGGAGGAAGGTGGAGGGGAAGGCGAAGGCCAGCGGCCTTGCTCCGCCGGAGGTGCCCCGACGGCGACACCGCGTTTCCCTCACGAGGAGACGGGCGAGGAGGTCGCCAAGCAGCCACCGCCTCGCCTGGGCCAAAGGGATGGCGCACCGCCTGTGAGGTGAGTCGCCGCCCGGCCGGGCCCTTCCGTCGCCCTTCCCGGCTCGCATCTCTCCTGTTTCACCTTATTACTTTTATGTTACTCGCGAGTCTTCTGCTCTGGAGACAGATGCAAATAATCCGTTCAGCTCCTCTGCAATCTCCTTTCCCACCTTTAGCACACCTTTGATTCCCTTGTTGGCCAAAGGCTCTACCACAGACATGTCCAAAGTCCGTTTCAGGGGCCTAATCCGGCCCCTTCGGCAGTTTATGGGGTAAAATCCTCAAAAAACCCCTCAACAACTTCAACCCTAAAAAAAAAAAAGCTCAACAATTTCAATCCTAAAAAAAGCGCAACAACTTTGGTTGGCCCTCACGGCCCTTCACTTCATCAAATCTGGCCCTCCTTGAAAAAAGTTTGGGCACCACTGCTTTATAATATATAGGCCTTGTGCCCTCTTGTTTTTCAGCAAATCCAGTGAGCTTTCAGGAATGCAAGCCACAGGTCCACTGTAACTGGAAGGAGAATCTATCCCGCCCCCCACCAATAACTTGTTGTTGATTTTAAAGGATTTAGGGTTCTGAAGGGTGGTAAGCACAAATTCAGCTAGAATTCACTCATTTCTGCAGCCAAAAATCACCATTGTTTATGCATCACTTTTGGAATGTTAAGAGCTGTTCACTAAGGTTATCTCAGGAATCCTTACATCAACCCTGTAGGCAGGTTACTATTTTTACCTTCATATTGCAATTGTGGGCTTAGGCCAAAGACAGCGGTTTGCCATCTATCAAGTTTACAGAAGTGGAAATATTTTCATTTATTTGTTTAGGGGAAAAGGTACAAAACATTCACAGATACAAAAGAAAACCTAACAATAGAACAGAAAAGGAAGAAGAAATACCCAACAGACTACCCTACATTTATACCTACAATATGAAACAAAGAAACTATAATTAATTAAATCAGATCCATAAATATATTTGCCTTTGTTCCTGAAAGCCTTGAGTGGGTCCCATTTTTGCTCAGATTGATGGATTCTTTGTTGTCTTTGTCTTACCCACAGCGTCCAAATTATACTTGGTTGCCAATTCCCATAATTTGATAAACTGCTGTTTTGAGCAAGGGATGTTTTTTCCTTTTTCAAAATTTACCATTTAGCATCCTGGCTGCCAATATCATATAAATGAGTAGTGACAGGATTTAAACCAAAGGCGTTCATACCTCAGGTTTTTAGCCATTCTTCTGCACTGACTCCATATTCTTTACATAGTGGCAGTGGGGGGGGGGGAGAGATAGGAGTATGCTGTTGAAGGCAGCAATCCACAATTCACAAAAATTGACAATAAAATCTGGGGGGGGGGGAGGGAAATAAGGGGAAGTAGGCTATACTCAGAGCTCAAGAATTATGTGTTTCAGTATGGTTTAAATTGTCACGTTGTCTACGTACAGAATAATTCTGCTTACACTGGAATTTTATTTTTAACTTGCTGGCAATAAAGAGAGGTGCTCAATGTACTTTGAGAGAGGAATGATTTAGCACTTCTTTGCATGGCCCTTAAGGGAAAGAGATCATAACAGAGCAATAACAAAGAAGTTTACTGGCAGGTAAAAGGAAAGAAGACAGTTGCCTGAGAGGATTTACAGTAAAGGCCCTATTTATTTAAAGTAGGTGGCATTTTCTTTGACTCTGTGAGCGGGATCAGCATAAGGATTTCACTTGCAATGCCACTTATAAATAGTGCAATAAACACTTCCCAGAGCCTCATTTTATCAGGGAAATTCCAAATCCATACACTAACTGAGCCTTACAAGTTGCTATGTGAGCTTTGTAAATATTTTATGTCAGTTTTAGGCTCAAGGGCAAATATCTCTTTTGCTCTGCGCTTGTGAAGAACTGTATGCTGAAAAACATTGGCTATAAAATATAAGAACATCTTTCATATTCACCTGCAATCCTTCGTGGACTAGTGCTAATTATTTTAATAAATCTGACAGCCTCACCCGTACATTGTGAGCACATCGGTCCATACTTCCCTGACCTAAATTTTCTTCTGATTTTTGCAAAAGGTTCCCTCAAAGCAGCCACCCATTCTGCCCCAAGTTCAAAAAGTAGCTTAGGAGCCCTAGGTCAGTTCTTAGGCTCAATTAAACTTCAATTAGCCAGCCTTCATCTCTGAGTTATGACAAGTATGTGTTGTGCATGCATCCAGTCATAGATTCCACTTTGAATTATTATTAATATTAATATCATTATTGCTACTATTATTATTTACTACTTACATTTACACTTACACTTACTGTTTTTAACACTTGATTGGGAGCCGCCCAGAGTGGCTGGGGAAACTCAGCCAGATGGGCGGGGTATAAATAATAAATTATTCTTATTATTACATGACAAAATGGCTTCTAAACAGTTTACAAGTATAAAATCAATCATAAAGTTCATACAGAGTTAAAACATAATGAAACAATTCCATCAAAACTTTAAAACATTCATAATGTAAAAATGCAATAAATCAAGCTCGTTAAAACAATTAGATCAATGAAATAATTAGAACAATTAGATCATAGGTGCAAGTTCAAGGCAAACAGGTGTGTCTTCAAGAGCTGGAGGAATGCCAAAACTGATGGGACCTTTCATATTTCAGCCAGGAGGGTATTCCACAACACTGGTGCCACATAGATACAGGGCATGGCGCCATTAGCAGCTGCCATCTTTCTCTAAGCGACTGTACTCCTTTAATTTCACACTTGGGAGGGATGCCAGCTAGGCCATTAAAAACCACAGTGCTACATGCGCTGCTTTTGGCCTGGCACAGTCCCCAGATGTGTTCACCAGAAACACAGTGCTGATTCTCTGACCTGGCTGTTGCCTCTCCCAGTATCAAATCTCAGCTTTCATGCTGAGAGGGATATTTAGCAGGCCAAATTCAGAGTGAGCGGTACCGGGCCACTTCCTAGCTAGTGCAGAAAGAGGCAACTGGATATCAACACAGCTCTGGTATATTCCAGAGCTTAGGGTGAGGAAACAAGCTGGGAGAAGGCTCGAATGTGGAGTGTAGGAAAAATCCAGTCAAATGCAGTCGAACATTGAGTCTACCTAGTGGCAGTGAAGGTAGCAAAGCTTTGCTGACGGTTGCATCCTCACTGTGCTGTCTGGCAAAGCTTTTCTCAGTAGTGTGGAGCCTCCTAGAGTCTGGCCCAAAGCAGCTAGTAGAATGGACAGCATACCCTCCAAGCATCCCAATTTTCTAGGGACAGACTCGTGAAAGCCATCCCAGCTTCTGATTTAATCCCGGAATGTCTCTATTTCCCCCTCCAGTG